TCTAGTTCAAGTTTGGGGTGAGAAACATGATTTTTCAATTTTTTTTATGTGTTTTTATTACTTTAGTAAAAAAAAAAAAAGGAGTTTGAAAATTTTAAAAAATTGATAAAAATATGAAAAATATAATGTAATATAATATAACAAAAATATTTTCTTTTTGTGTGCTTGTGTGAGTTTGTTTGCATGGCAGATAATGATGAATATATTGAATTATGAATTGATTTATGAATGGTGAATAAGTTGTATGCTTATATTAATTTTTGTTTCTTCATGTGAAATTTGATATATATTGAGTATATGAATTAAGTTAAGCATTGTGTAGGAATAAGTTGATTTCATAATTGGATATGTTGAAATAATGGATCATAGATGTTAAACCAAAAATCACTAAATTTTACATTCTTGAACCAAATTTAGAATAGTTTGGAGGATTTCACTGTTGTAGAAAGATGTCGAGATAAATAGGGATTACATGTGTGAAATTAAAAATCTTATGTAGATCATCTAAGGTCTGGTTAAAAATCTCGAGTTAGAGGTCGTTTTACTTGAATTGGTGTTAAATGAGAGACAATGTACTAATCAAGGTATAAAAAAATATTTTATTTAAAAATTTCTCTTCGTAATCTTTATGACTCTAGCAATTAAGCCAACAAGGATTTTTAAAATTTGGTGCCCTATGGTCATCTGACTTGAGAGTCATCGACCGAAAGTTTATTACATGTGTTATTTAGAAAGTTTAAGGGATAGAATGTTTCAAATAAAGAAAAAATATTCATATAAAAAAAAGCAGGTGCATAAAACAGATTACGCACCAAATGCCTTGGTTAAGTTTCAAACACTGGTTTTAAAAAATTTGACTTTTGATAAGAAATTGTTAGCTTAGTTAAATCCTAGAGATTGAAGCAATCAAATTTAATGGAAAATCCTTATTTATTGTCATATTGAACTGCAATTGGTGAGATTTACCTAAACTAGAGAGGTGAGGATAGTAGAAAATCCAATTTTAGTTCACACACTGGAAAAAAGAGAAAATAATAAGTTTGGTGGTGTGTGAATCTTACAAGTGATGAAAGAACATATTTGACCATTGATGGTCGAGAATTGAAACAACTTATGAATTCATAATGCAATGCTTAATTCTTCACACACACAATATTGTGATTTTGAATTTGTACATATACTTGATATTATAATTTTAATCCCGAGATAAAAAGTCAGGTTAGCTAACTAAATTTTGTTACTTTATTTGATTGACTGGCCACCAATTACGTAATTAGCATTGCATGTTTGTGCGTTTATTAGGTTGTAGTTTTGTTTGAGGACAAACAAATATTCAAGTTTGTATATGTGATAAGTGTAGTTTCTACACTTATTTGGGGCCTTAAATCATGATATTTTATTGTCATTTAGATAAAATTTTACATAATTTATGTTATATTGTATTTTGTAGGTAAAATTTTATATTTAATGAAGAATTGGAAAAAAATGCAAAAGTGGATAAAAATGACAAAATTCAAAGATAAAACCTTAGAGAGAAATAATACATTAAATGTGTTAGAGTAAATGAGCATCAATGGACTTGTATTGGAAATTTTAATTGGACCTCATTGAGGCTTATATATATATATATATATACACATACCTATACAGAGAAAAACAAAAAAAAAAGAGGAAAATGCACAAGAAAACAAGAAGACGGCTGCTAGCAGGAAAGGGAAAGAAAAAAAAATAGAGAAAAAAGAAGAAAGAGGAGATAAAGAAAAAAGAAAAGGGCTACCGCAGAAAGGAAAGAGAGAAAAAAAGCAGAGAAAAGAGGAGAGAAAAGAAAAGAGGCGGCAGACACGAACAGTTTCACGTTTCGTCAATTTTTGGTGATATCGTTCCACTTTTATTTGTTTTTATTTTTACAATATGAGTAACTAATTTTCATATTAGAGAAAATAATGTAGTCGACTTGTGATCCTTTATTTTCCTATTCAAGATTTATGTGATTTATTATTATATGAGTTGGTTTTAATATGAATTTAATGCATTGAATTAATTGATCATTAATTTGATAATTATGTGAGTCTTTTACGAATCGAGAAGTGAGTTTGAGATTTAGACCATATAGTAAAATTCGATAAACTAGTATAACGTGTAGATATACCTATTTTAATTATTGTGGTCATAATATGAATTCTCAGGACTAGTTGATTCACATAGAGATATGTAATATAATTAATTAAATAGGTTAAATGAAAACTCAAAATAGGTAAATTGAATACAATAGAAGAAATTGATCGAATACTACATTAAGTTATGAATCCTGACTTAAGAATTAAGGTGCTCAATAGATAAAATTGTTATGCCCTAATATTCATCACATATTTGAATATTCAATTGTTAGTTGTTTGTAATCTTTTTATATTTTCAATTAGTTAAAAATAGTTAGGTAAAATAATCACAATTATCATAATTATTTACTTGTTTTCATCAAATAGGAGCCAGAAAATTTTGATTAAGTCCTAAAGTATAGTTTTCGTCGGGAACGATATCCAAACTCAAAGGTTCACTATATTGCTTGTTACAATATCGTACACTTGCGATATAAAAGACGCAACAAGTTTTTTGCACTGTTGTGGGAGACTATTTACTTTTAGTCTTAATTCATTTTATTTTTAACTGTTGTTTGAGTTTATTTTATTTTCTTTTATTAAAAAAAAAAGTGTTCTTTTATGTTCTGTATCCAAACCAATGATTTTGATCCGTTTTGACTCTAATGTAAATTGTACTTTCAGACGAAAACGCAATGAACACAAAGAAAAACAGTAACGTTAAATGGCTGACGATCAAAAAACAACAAACGTATTAAAATTTAGTGACCATTCGAAAGGATTTTAAAGTGCAGTGAATAAAGAATGACAGGGGTATAACCATTGCCCACTCGAAAGTATTTTAAAATTCAATGAGTTTAGTGACTAATGAAACATTTAACTCAATTAATGCATGAATTTTGTAAAAATAAAAAAAAATCTTAATGAATAATCAAATTTAGAAACCATGGTTGAAGCACAATAGTACAATGAGTTGGGGTTGGTAAAAGGGAAAAATACATAACTACAAAGATTTCAAAATACACTTTCAATAGTAAGACACTTGTATTTCAAAATTTAGTCAGTCACATTTGTGACCACATTATAATAATTTTGTGATTTATTAATTAATGAAATACTTCGAGGTCACACTAACGTCATAGTCACGTACTAGTTACAAATTGCACAATGTCGAAGTCACAAATTACCCATTTTATTAGTCAATTACCCAAATAATTGCTCACAAGTACTCAAATAACTGACTACAAATACTTTTTACCCATCTCATCCTACACCACTATTCTCCACAATCGTCAGCGGCACCCAAACACCGTGCCACCTCACCACCACTGCCGCCTGCACGAGTAACTACCACCTTTTCCACCTCCACATCCACATCCACATCCACCTCCGACTAACCACACAAACATATAATTCTGTAAGTATCTTTGAGATCGAGTATGGAATTCTGTTTACTCACTTTAAATTAAGTATCCGTTTCCTTCCGTGCGAAAAAGTTACTCGAAGTAACTTTTAAGTTTAGCCATACATGTGTGCTAGAGTTGGCAAAAGAAGGAGAACCACTAAATGAAGTAATTCAAATTTTTGTTTTTTCACAATGCATATTAGTTTTAATGTTGTACGAAAGAAGACAAGGGACTAAAATGAAGTTGGTCTAAATTAATCAAGATGATCTTTGAGGGCTCAAAATATTGAAGAATGATTATTATAGAATTATTGCCAAAATAATCCTTTTAATAAGTTTTTTGAATTCTTTCAGAAGACGATGCTACGTTGCCACCTACCCGAACAACATCTATGCGTAGCCAATTTTCAGACACTGGAAATACGTACACTGAGAATCTCGAGACAGAAGGTATGCTCAAAATAATTCTTTTTCTCGGGTCACCTCCATAAGAAGTGCCTTTATTTATGTATGTTAGCTTTTAACTGCATAGGTATGAATATGATAGTGTTTAATGATTTTTTTTCCTCGTCTTGACAGCGATGTTGCCGCCACGTGTATCACAAGGCCTGTTGCTAGCATCCCAAGCTAGCACGCCTCGGCTTACACCTCCTGGTTCCCCTTCTAGTCTATCTGCGTCTGTATCTCCATCTAGGACACCAAAACCTCTGTCTCCAAGGAGACACTCCATTTCATTTTCAACGACGAGAGGCTTTTTCGATGACAGATCGTCTGGGTTTTCTTCTGTGCCCTCCAGCCAGCACAGTTCATTCTCAGGCTTGGATACAGGATCGCAATCAGGTTAGTTCTAAGAACCTTTAATGTCTGTTTGTCTGTTTGAAGAACAACTGAAAAATGTAGGAAGGATAAATGTTACTGATAATATCAATCAGATCATATTTAGGATCTTGCTTTGATGGCTCAAGAGCATATAGTGATTCTTTTGCTAGCAATGATTAGATGTTCGCATCTACTTCGTAAAGGAAGACACAATTTATCTTCATTAATTTTCATTTCTTCTCTTTTCCTCATTTTCTCTTTCTTTTCCGAAGTTAGACGATGAGGGAAAGAGATTTTATACTGGCACTTCTACTGACACACATACCTCTTCCCGTGTCCTTTATTTCAGGTAGAACCCGAGTTGATGGTAAAGAATTCTTCCGCCAAGTCAGGTACTTGACATTACTCGCTAAATATTTGCGAGTATGGAAAGATTATTGATTGATGTAATATTGTAACTGATACTAAGGCAAATACCGTCATCAACTTTGCTCGGTTCAATGATCATCCGAAAACAAAAGCACTTCTCGAAGAGTTGTTGTTCAAAAGACGTTTCTTGTATCTCTTGATTACACGTCATGCTTCTTCTAGTTGTACTATCTACTTGAGCATGTTTACCTAAGTTTAAAAGTGAGTTACATTCCAGTGTATTTTTTGTTCCTAAACATGTCAAGTAAAATAAAAGTTATTTATGAAAGTAACTCGGTTTACTCTGGGAATAAGTAACTTATTTCTTCAAGTTTTCGGATTTGGTCCCCAAACTCTAACAAATGATAGCTTGTCTGAAATCTTATTTGCTTTTTCAGGAACCGGCTTTCTTATGAACAGTTTGGTGCATTTCTAGCTAATGTCAAGGAATTGAACTCCCACAAGCAAACAAAAGAGGTACGTCGACTCATATGATGCATCTCGATAACATTCTTGCTTTACCACAATCAAAGAATTTGTTGTTGACCGATTCTTATGCTTCTATTTCTTTGCGTTATACTAGGAAACTTTGCAGAAGGCCGATGAAATTTTTGGCCCCGACAACAAGGATCTATACGCCATTTTCGAGGGGTTGATCTCCCGTAATGTCCATTGAAAGAAGATGCTTGTATGTACCTACAAGGTAGTAATTCTTTGTAATCACCATGATATGATTGCTTTTGTAACTATAGTTGTAGAGCGAGTTAATAGGTTCAAAAACAATGGGAAGTTGAATTGATTTGTACAAGATTTTTACATATGTTCATTGTCAATGTTTCAATAAATGAATTGTAACATGTCAAGTTGATCATACGAGGAAATATGATGAATTTAGACGAAGAAATATACGTGGCAAATGAGTGTTGTACAATTTGTATGAACCCTTTTGGCGAATTCTGGAATGGTTACGGATGGCAAGATTCCGTTCCTGACTCCTTGCCGACTCTGTGTAGTCCCGTCTTGTCGGAAAATATGGGCGGGTCTGGGTGGGGAACCTGATCCCTTCCCCAACTTGAATTTATCGCGACTCTTGTACATATTTTAAAATTTATATAGTATTAATCATAGGTAAATGGGAGAAAATGAGAGAATATGGTATATTTCAATCCTCGTTGTCGCCTCTCGAAAATCTCCAGCGGGTCGACAATGTGAAGGCCACTTGACCTCGTGCGTCCAGCCTTGTTGCCATCCGTTTGGCAAAAATAGCATTGCTAGAGTATCATTTGGTATTAAAATATAGAGTTATAAAATTTTAACTTATTTTTTCTTTTGCATAATACAATATGCATACGATTTCAAACGTACTTTATTAAAAATACCGACTCTAAACTCGACGATTGCCATTTTATCTTAAGCATACGAAAATTCTTCGACGAGAACAAAGACAATTTCAGAAAAAAACTTCAAAACAATGCTATTTTGATTTCCTCAAAACCAATTTGGCCATTTCCAATAAATTTCGTTTCAATTTTTCTACTTTAATTTTATTTATTATTATAGAATAGAATAGAATGTTCTATAAATTTGAAAACACGTATATTCCCATGCATGCAGCATATGAATAGGGATGATGAAAGGCCAAAATTAGGCAGAGGGAGAGATTCAGGGAGTTGCCATTGATATATAAGGACGAGGAGATTTCACCACCACTATATTCTCAATTCATCTCTCTCTCCTCTCTCTGTCTCTCTATGTCTATCTCTCATTCTCTCTCTCACTGCGTGTGAGAAGTTTGTAATTTTCACTGTATGTATTGGTTCCCGAGGAATCTGGAAATTCTGCTGTCACTCCGAGGAACCATGGAATTTATCCAAGAGCCATTGGCTTCGGCTTTGGCTTCTCCACGGTATTTGATATTGTTTTTGGTGTTCTTTTGCTGAATTTTGAGGTGGATGATGATCCTTTGTTTTGAAGAATTTTACGCGTATTGAGCTTTTTCTGATCATGGGTTTTATGAACATTTTTCATATGTTTTGATTATTGATTCATAGAAATTGTTTGTGTATATTTTGTTTAGCATTGAATATGGAATTTAGAAAGATTTGGTTGTATATTAAGAGACTGGGGAAAAGGGGTCATGTAGTCGCCCAAAAATGGATTGTGCAATGATCATAATTGAATTCTGCATCTTACCCTTTGTTTGTGGGTTTATAAACAATTGGACAATCTACCCTTAAAGCCGATTTTAAGGTTGGATTCTCAACCTAAGGTGGTTGTTACTCGTTTGGACAACAAAGTGACCTGCGTTTCCATGAGGTCACCTAACTTAGAATATGGGTCGCCATAAAAGTCAGTTCATGGAATGTAATAACCATAATTGCATTGATAGGCAAAGACTTTTGTTAGGATTGATACCACGTGTTGTGACATCAATTATCGGATTGA